AAAAAAAGAGCTAAAATGAATAAAGAGAAATATTGTTTGTTAACTGATGGTACATAGAAAGGTAGAAAAGATCAAAATAAATGTCAGAAGAGACTCTGAAACTTGCTCTGGAATGTAGAGACATAAAAGTGACTGAAAGAAATAAAGATGTAAAAGAGCTGAACAGAAAATTTCAAAGGGCAACTTTAGAAGACAAAGCCAAGTATTATAATAAAATGTGCAAAGACCTGGAGTTTGAAAACAAAAAGGAAAGAACACATTTAAATTTCTCAGGTTGAAAGAACTGAAGAATAAAACTCAAGCCTTGGGTTGCAATATTGAAAGATTTTATGGGCAAAGTAAGGAGTTCTAGTAGCATAGTGGATTATGAGTTGGGCTACTAGCCACAAGGTCAACAGTTCAAATCTGCCAGCCACTATGGGAATAAGATAAGACTTTCTGCTCCTGTAAAGATTTACAGCCTCAGAAACCCTATGCAGGGTCACTATGAGTCAGAATTGACTCCACTGCACATAGCCACCATCACCACCATGGACAAAATATTGAATGATGCAGGAAGCATCAAAAGAAGATAGATGGAATACACAAAGTCACTGTACCAAAAATGGGCTCACACATCACATTTGTGAGGATGGCACAGGACTGGGGAGTGTTTCATTGTGTTGTGCTATGAGTCAGAACTGACTCAACAGGACCTAACAACAATAATACACTCCAGTCAGAGCTGTAATTATTACTCAATTCTAATGGCGTTTTGACTCAGATGCTTTCATCTGTCAGCACAGGCTACAAGCATAAGCTGTTGTTTTCATTGTTATCTGTGTTTTGTTTGCTTTTCATTGTGATTTGGATGAAATCTTGCAGAGCAAATTGGTTTTCCATTCATTTGTTAGTTTGTGGCAATGATTGCAATTCCCACAACTTAACAGCACTCTTTTCACTGGGCAAATTTTGATTGTATGTGGTTGATTGTTGGCCAGAGTTTTTATAGTCACTGATTTTCACAAATTTTCTGGTGTTTTTGCTGTAATATTGTGATAAGTAATATTTGTAAATCTATATCAGTAATTTTTTTGAGAATGAAGTAGTAATTAAAGGAAAAGGAAAAAAAATTTATAAGTCTTGGTTCATTTATTAATAATATCATCAACTAGTAATATAGTAGTTCAATGTAGAAAGATTTTACAAAGCAATTTTGCTGTCATCATTGATATAATCTAAGAAACTTAAATTACATTTAAGTAGTTTACAACTATATTTATTACATACTATTTTATGACTAAAATAGATTGTAAACATTACTAAGGACTTTATATTACTGTGTATAGGAGGAAAGCCATGTGGTGGGGTGACCCCATCAGTTACTGCACTTGTTGTTGTTGTTGTTAAGTGCCAGCGAGTCAGTTCTGACCCACAGCGACCCTGTATGGGGTTTCTGAGGAGCAGCCTGTGAGCTTGAACTGCCGACTTTGCAGTTACTGCACTAAGTGATACCAATTCTAGTGATGGCACTGAGACATCACACAATGTCCTGGAAACATAAAAAGTCAGTTTAGCAGACATTCTCTGAGATTTCACATTCAGACACACTATCAATACATCCAGCTTCATAAGTAAACAGTACACCCAGCTTCATAAGTAAAACACTATCAGTACATCCAGCTTCATAAGTAAAACAGCTAAGCAGACCATTTCAAAGGGCAGCTCAAGAAGACAAAGTAAAACATTATAATGAAATGTGAAAGTATCTCGAGTTAGAAAACCAAAAGGAGAGAATACACTCAGCATTTCTCAAGCTGAAAGAATAGAAGAAAAAATGCAAGCCTCTATTTAAAATATTGAAAGACTCTATGGTCAAAATATTGAATGATGAAGGAAGCATCAAAAGAAGATGGAAGGAATGCATGGAGACACCATACCAAAAAGGATTGGTTGATGCTCTATCATTTCAAGAGGTAGCATATGATAAGAACCAATGATGCTGAAGAAAGAAGTCCAAGCTGCACTGAAAGCACTGGTGAAAAACAAGACTACATGAATTGACAGACTACAAATAAAAATATACCAACATCTATGCTAGGAATTTTGATAGACAGCTACCTGGCCAACTGATTGGAGGAGATCCATATTTGTGCCCATTTCAAAGAAAGGTGACCCAATGGAATGAGGAAATCTTCGAACAATATCATTAATATAAAATGCAAGTAAAATTTTGTTGAAGGTAATTCAAAAATGGTTTCAGTAAAGTTCTGGCTACATGGCAGATGAGTACAACGTGTCCATACCCAGAGAGCTAGCTACATTACAGAGTAGTGCAACATTTCTAGATACAGAGTTCTAGCTACATGGCAGATAAGACCAACATGTCCATATTCTGAGTAGTACATTCATGAGGAGTTGCCAGAAATTCAAACTGTATTTAGAAGAGGATATGGAACAAGGGACATTATGGCTGACGTCAGATGCATCTTGGCTAAAAGCATAGAATACAAGAGAGATGTTTACTTGTACTTTATTGACTATGCAAAGGCATTCAACTGTGTGGATCATAAGAAACTATGGATAACATTGTGAAGAATGGGAATTCCAGAATACTTAATTGTGCTCATGAGAAACTGGTACACAAACCAAGAGGCAGTCATTTAAATAGAACAAGGGGATACAGAATGGTTTAAAATCAGGAAAGATGTGTGCCGGGTTATATCCTTTAACCATGCTTACTTAATCTGT